CAAAATCAAACAAAGGACCCTTGGCAAGTCTCTCTCCGCAGTAGAGAGAGCCCGAGGATCCTACAAAGTGATGATTTCGAGCAGACAATCCCGAGTTTCGGGCGTATGGATGTGTACTTTACAACTTTTTTTTCTATTTTTAAAAGTCTGTTTCTCCTGTAACGCAACGTATATGTACATCACATAAACTTCCTCATTGCCGTAACGAGGGCACAGCGAGTTTTTTTTACTGGAGGGCTGTACAGGTGTTATTTACTTGCCTTTTTTCTTCCGCATATTTTTTATTTTGTCCACATGTTGCTGCAACCTCTTCCTTAAGGAGATTCCGCAACCCCTCGATTTCTTGAAACATTTTCCTTACTTCATGTATAGAGATGGCCTTTTCAGGTGTAACAAAGTACTTTACAATAATGGCCCCGTTGTCTTTGGACCACTCGCATTTTTGGGAACTCAGTGTCTCCGTTGAAGATGCAACCTAATTAGAAGTTCTACTAGGTTTGCCACTTTCAGGCAGCTGTTCCGGTTCCTTCCTAGACTCCTTTGTCTGAAAGTACCGCATGCAGTCGGTGACTCTTCTGACCATCTCTTTGTAAGGCAGTAATTTTTGCAAAGCCAGGCTGGTACTCAATTTCGGGCGCACATCTTTGAGGACGATGACCACAAGATTTCCTGTTGAAAGAGGCATTTGATCTCCTCTGTTTCCAATGCTGTCAGTGGTCGAGTGTTAGAATCTTTCTTATTGTCCGACTGAACGTTGCCTGGATCCTCTTGAGGCTCTTCAATATTCAATGGGTCGTCTTCAAGTGATGTTTGCTTTGAGCAAACAGGTGTTTGGTTTGTGCACGTGGCAATAATGTGATTTGCCTCAGCTCCAACTGCAGTTGGATCGTGCCGTAGGTAGTTCGATTGAGCAAGCCGGTCTGAGTGGCACATGGCCCTTCATAGCACGCTTTCGTCACAGTCCACCCCTTCCCCTTTTTTTTGGTGGCATACTGTAACGATCCATTTTCTGATGTTGGTTGCAGTCACTTGTATGTCCGGGCAGACTTCTGTTTTCTGCCAAAATTCTTGCACTCATGGAAATTTTTGCCCCTGCCAAGGCCTTGCCGGAGTTGTTCAGGAAGAGGTTCTCATCCTTAGGTTTTCATATGGGCGTTTCTTCTCAACATAAACATGCAGCATTTCTTTTAACTCTTTCATGAAAGAGATGACTGCTGGGCCATCAACTTGCCGCTTGTGTTGCGCGACTAGCATCACATAATGACCACGTTTTTGGTTTTTCCTCGTTCTATGATATTCTCCCATCTTGGCGTGCTCCAAGGCACCTGGCCTCGTTTTCGGAGAGGATTTCTATGTTTGTCCCACGAGGGTCTAAGTCCCCTAACACAGTTTTAATGTGGCATGCATCCTTGAGCCGGTTTTTGTCCTTTTTGTGCCCGGCATCAGGGACGTTTAAGTGCTGGTAAAATGCTGTGAGCTACTTGTGATGTTTGGTAATGGGGTTGGTGAAGGTAAAGTAGTCTTGATGAGCAAACTCTTCATCAGATTCCTAACTATCAGCTTTACTGTCCGAAAACTCTACTTCTGCTTCTGGTTCTGCGGAGGTCAATGCAATCGTCTGCTTCTGCAGGGGTTGATGGGCCTTGCGAAAGAGAATCACATGATGTCGGTACCAACACGACTTGTGCTTCACCTCCAACCCTTCCTTTTTGCCACACTGCTGATGTGCATGACTTCGTTTGCACCAATGTCAACCTTTTCTGCGTGTTTCCACAGGTGGCAAAGGATGTCATAAATCTCCTTTTTGCAAATGGGGTTTTCCTCCCTTCTATGATGCAAACGCTTTTTCTCCTTTTGGACACCAGTCTTTTCCTTCTTTTTTTGTTGATGTTCAAACTCGGGGCTAGGTGACCTCACGGGGTCAAGCTTTGGCAGCTTAACCTTTCTTGGGTTAGGGTTGTCTTGTTCGTTTCGCTTCTTATCTGCAACTTTTGGTGCTGATACTACTTCCTCACTACCGGATGGCGTGCATGAGACGTAGGACGGATCATCCAGTTCATCTTCGATATCGGCACATAGTTGCATTCTTCTCTTTCTGTTCTTCTCAGCCACAAACTTGTGAAAGGCTTTCATATCTTTCACCTCAGTTTGGAGGGACATGCAGATCACTTGCGGGTCAAAGCTGCGACTGCACAACTAGTGTTCCCCTGGAAGTGATTCTTTCTGGAACCAGAATGAAGGCGTTTATTTCTGCAGCAGCTCGTCATCCATTTTTATGCCCACTAGGCATGGCTCTACTGCCGTTTTGTACAAGAGTACCAGACGTGATGCGTTTGGAACATCTTTCATCTTGTCGACTGAAAGATTGAGGTTTAGATCAAGCTGCATAAGGTGCCTTCTTTGGTAATCGGTGTCACTCGCTGCACTCAGAATCTCCAGGAACTCTGTAACATCTGCTGCCGCTTTTTTTCTTCACGGCGTTCAAACCTCCCCTTCTTGTTCCCAACAATTGTTGTCATGTATTTCAATAAGCGCGTTTCATCTAGTGTGCATTATTTTGTAAAACATAATCCAGGATTGTTAGTAGGTACTAGCTGGCTTCGAAGGCTATCAGCTCCAGGAGTCGTGCTCCTACTCTTACACGAGTTGCGATTTAGAAATGTTTCTTTACTAGCTTAAGATTCGTGTTAAACTTGTCTCATACTGTAATTTCAGGTAACGATAAGGAGTCCATTCCAAGTTCTTCTAGGGCTTTGTCTATGTCACCTTCTGTATCTCCATTGAGGCCCACATACAAATAGTAATACCTTATATAGAGTGCTTACTAGTCATTGCGCTAGTCGCCTACCTACAGATGTTCAGCACAATAAAAATAATAAAAGAGCTTAATAGAGTGCTTACTAGTCATTACACTAGTTGCAAGTTTGAGTTCAAACGGTTAATTCCCCTTTGAGTTATGAGGAGTTAAACTTCAGCTATCAGTTTAAGTTTAAGGCTTGTTTTTTACTTGTAAGTCTTAAAACTGAAGGGCTCAAAAGTAAAAATTGCAGAGACATCTTCATAGTTTGTAATAGTATTGTTTCAAACGGCCCTGGTCGTTGACCGTTGTACATCTCCAGACTGGCAATGATGTAATCTGGCACATTGCAGTACTGCATTGTTGTCAGGGTTGTGTATGGGGCCTTCTCCAACAACTTTTTAGCTTTCTTTGCTGGCTCGGTCTTGTCAAGGTCTTTGACATCTTCTGGGTGTACTGAGACTTTCATTTCCTTCAAATGCCTTCGCCAGTCTTCTTTTTTGTAGTTCTTTCTCACAACTGGCTGCCAAGCACCAAGGTGTTTCCAGGCTCACTCTATTGAGGTGCACATGGCTTTAGGCAATTGAAATGGTACCTTGTTCTCGTACTACCTGTCCAAGGCGAATTTAAAAAACTTTTCCTCGTCCTTGTGTTCTATATTTGACTCTGATGCTGGCTTATAAGTCGGATCTTTGAGTTCCTGCTCAATGTACTCAACTTTGTCTTCTGTTTGAGCCAAGCGTTCTTTCCGAATTCCTTCGCTTTGATTAATTTTTTTCCATTTCTTGAAGGTAACATATTATAGAGTCCAGGGTTTGGTTCCCTGCTACCTTTACACGCCAAATATTTTTGTTCTTGGGATATGCTTCTTTTGCAAACCAGCCAAGATAGCCTAAGATGCCATGGCATGCCATATGCATTTCAATACGTCATCTTTGACGTACAAGGAACATTTGTACAACTCTGTTGCCCAGGACGCCATCACCTTGAGACTGGATTTATGTGGCATGTCTCTCCTGGCTTTAATAGGTAGTTTCATCAGATCGTCCACCCCTAACTGCTCTTTGACGTCCTCTTCCCCTTGCACGGCCCTTGCAAGGAGATTGCACAGTTCATTACAAATGCCTTCACGCTGTATGTCATTCACAGTTTTGAACCACACACGCCACTGTTCCGCTTAAGTGCCCACGCATCTGAGGACATTCTCCTTTTCTGGGATAAATCGAAGTCTCTGGTTGTATTTGTAACTGGCTATAAATACTGGTAGTGACTGAAGGTATTCTGCACATTCCTCAAGGGTGTTTAAGTTGAACTGGTGAGCTGCGTAATGCACTCTTGTAACCTTCTCGAACTGAGTTTGTATCAGAGTTGCCGTTGTATTTTTTGTACTCCTTGCTAATAGTTTTGGGTCCTCTAGGATGTCAAGGTTAAGTTTTTTAAGGGCGTTGGAACTACCACCCTGGGCTCTTTTAGCTTTGTCGAGTATCGCATCCATATTTGATAGCTGAAAGCCCGATTTTAGAATTTGTCTTCATGAAATAATCTAACTAAAGAAAGAAAAATATCCAGTCATAATTGAAGTCGCAAAGTGCTGTCTGTGTTTGGTAACATTCCACTCCAAATACGCCATGATACAACCATTCACTGTCACCAATGACTTGTCATCTAACTTCACTCTCACTAAACACATTTCTTTTACTACATCACCATCACAAAAAGCTTGTACTCACCCCAAGATGACTTGGTAGCAAGTTGACGGTGTGTGTGTCACAAAATGTTATAGGGTATAAGTTAAACTAAAAAAAATCAATCTTTAACTCCCAGTAACAATTAAGGCGTCGTTGTAAAGCCCAGAAAATGCCCTTCATGTGCAGGTAAATCAATTTGACATACCTTGAATTCTTTAATTTATTTGTTATCCCAATCGTGTTCACCAAAAAAAAATTTTCTTCAACCTTGAATGTGTGTTATTCATACCCATTTTAACTAAAGCACTCAAAAAAAAGGTTTGTGTCTCAGCCTTGGTATGTCAAAATCTTGGACCTCTTTCGCACAGATCCGTTGTTTCAGAGATGGTCAACAAAATTTGCTGAATTATGATTTGCCTACTATTTCGACCATAAAGAGAGAATTAACAAACCAAGTTGCAAGGTTAATGGATAACATTGAATATATTTTGAGATAAGAATGTCTACAATGTCACTAGTTAAAGGGAGAGAAAGTCAATTTCAAAATGACCCTCAGTAAAGTACGAGATGAGCGTATCTTATTCAACATGAACACATAGTTTCTCTGACAGTCAATTTTTCCTCACTCCTAGGATATATGATGATGTCCTTTGACATGTCAAAAGACGAATATTTACAACACTGTTTTTACAAACATTTTTCTCTTTGGTTTCCAATTTTTCATGACACTTGTGCAACACTTGAGGTTACAAGGTTTGAACCTTGATATCTTCAAATCCTTTGACGATCAAGCAATCCAAATCACCAAAAACATATCTAGGATCATAGGCAATGTTTCCTGGAGCAGTTAGAAGAATTGAAAATAAGAATTGAAAATAAGAAAACGTTCAGTAATTTTTGTTGATTTGTTTACTCAACAGACCAAGATCAGGTTCTTGACGCGTTTTGAAAAAGTGCTCTCTGAATTTGGCTGTCCATTTGCATTCTGAAATGAGAGTGTGCACAGCAAATTAATGAAGGAATGAATGATAAATAATTAAAAAAGCGCTGTTTAAAGAGCAGATAGCATCATTTACTGAAAAAGGTACAAGAATCTTGCTCTATATAGAATCCGATGTGTGCTGGTATGGCTAGTTTTTTTACTTGGATACTCACTACAAAAAGGAAATAATTTTTTTCTTCGGTGGTGAGTTCTTATCTAAATTCTGGCACATACCGCCAGAAGAACCTGCAAAGTTCACTGCCTGCCCGCAGAAAGAGTGACCATTTAGTTAATTGTCAGCGAATTCTATTTTTTTTTCCAGGCGTTAAAAGGTTTTTTTGGGGATTGTTTCAACTGTGCTCTATCTCTTAATGACGTGGATTTTTTTAAGTTTCTTAGCAGCGGATGGAATATGCTGTCCATAAACAAACATCCATAACATTTCGATATTTCTGTCCTTTTTCTGTCTTTTGTTTAACCTCACCTGTATGGAAACTGTGTCGCTTTGTGCGTGCTTGCTGGTGGTAATCACTCTGTCTTTTTGCAAAAGCGTTATGTCTCTGTTGGTGAAACGAGCTGCTGCAAAAGGTTCTCCCAATTGACCACTCCAGGAAATAACATACCATAATACTCTTTGTTGGTCACTCCAAAATTTTGCATAAGCATTGTTTTCAGTTTCTCTTGGGGCCATTTTAACTCCCAAGAGAAACTAAAGACAATGCTTATGCTTATGCTTATGCATTTCTTCAGCGTTGAGTTCTTATTTTAATTCTGGCACATACCGCCAGAAGGACCTGCAATGTTCACTGCCTACCTGCAGAAAGAGAGTGGCCATTTAGTAAATTGTCAGCGAATTCTATTTTTTTTTTTTTCAGGCGTCAAAGATTTTTTTCAGGATTGTTTCATCTGTGCTCTTTCTCTTAATGATGTGGATTTTTTTAAGTTGCTTAGCAGCGGATGGAATATGCTGTCTGTAAACAAACATTCATAACATTGCGATATTTCTGTCCTTTTTATGTCTTTGTTTCAACTCACCTGTATGGAAGCTGTGTCGCTTCCTGCGTACTTGCTGGTCTTGTAATTCTGTATGTAGATGGTAATCACTCTGTCGTTTTGCAAAATCATTATGTTTCTGTTGGTGAAACGAGCTGCTGTAAAAGGTTCTTCCAATAGACTTCCTTGACTACCTCCAGGGTTCGTATTTCCAGGCCCCTGCTCGGTGGTATGTGGACATAGAAAGAGGAGCAACAGGAAGTGAGCAGCTTCTCTTGCACAATGTCTCTTGCTGCAAGCCACTACGAAATGCAAAAGCGGGAGTGACGTCGCTTTCAGTACTTCGTCCCTGAAAACAAAAAGAAAAGAAAAGGAGAGATGGAGAAGAGGTCTGGAAACCTACAACGTTTCCCGGCATAGCTAATCTAACATCCAGTAATCAAACTCAAGCAGTCACTTATCTGCGAGCTCAATTACCGAACAGATCCGACCTTAGTTAAACAGAGTCAAACGCAATCCATTGAATGGAGTTCGGGTTTAATCGAACAACACTTTTCTTTACCAGAAGGACGAATCATTAGACAAAACTGCCTTCCTCTTAAATTTTTAGAAGCAGCTTAGGTTTTTGGCTTCTGGAAAATCCAAAACATTGGAAAAGTCCAACAGCAGTAAAAAAGTGGATTCAACACCGTCGTCTGGTATGGTTTTTTGCACAAATTAGTGAACTAAAGAACAATGTCTACATCAACTCCAGTGCACATTCTTCACACACAATGACATCGAAACAACAGAAAAAGTGCAACTTGCATTCCCGGGGCGCTTAAAGCTAAGCATACTCGAGAGACGACCTTTACTCACTAGTCACCTCATAACGCTTGGAGGTCCTTTTGTCTTTTGTGGTGCTCAACGTCTCCTTGTCTCTTTAGCAATGTAGCCATAGTGATGATAGGTACGTTGGCAAAATTGGGTGCCTCTCTGCGATAAATGTGCTTCGAGGAACAAAGCAGGCTGCTAGCGTGGTTGCTGATTGATGTTGCGGACAGGCCCCTAGCTGTGATCCTGAAAGAGAATCTCAAAATAACAAAATTTAGCCAAAGATTATAATAATTTTATAGTGCCTTCATCCCTAAGTCAATTCACTATCATGATATGAAAGATAGTTCATTGATCAAATGCAGCAACATGTTTTATCAGTGTTAGGATTCTATGAAAGTTTCCCAGATTCGTAAATCCTTTTTTGTTTCCATAGTTACCTGAATTCTGTGATGAGCATGCCTGACACCAATGGTGAGATTTATTAGGCGCCTAATAATGACTGGACCCTAGGTTATAACCAAGCAGGCAAAATGCGGGAGGCCTATAAGCGATTGGAGCTCCTTTGGTTGTACTCTTTTTCTGGGTAGAAGAGAGCGAATTGACCTTTAAGTTTTTGTCAAATTTTTCTTCCAGAAGCCTGGTCTCCAGCTCTAAACAATCTAATCCTATGCCTGCAAATGTTAATACGTGACTAGGGCCTTCCGTTTTATCTGGAGCCATGGGAGCACCATGTCCTCACAAAAATGCAGAAACCTTTGAAGGGTAACATTGCCAGCTTCATGGGATTTTTCAACTATCAGAAAGTCATCCAAAATATGTAAGATGTTAGGTATCACCAATTTGTTGCGAGCTACCCCCTCCATTACAGTACTTAGGGCTTCTAAGATCTTGCAAGAACTAGCACAGCCGATTGGGAGGGAGAAGTCAACATAAAAGTTCCCTTCCCATTGCATTCCCAGTAAGTAGTAGTCTGAAGGGTGTATCAGAATAATGCGGTAAGCCTAAACGCTTGATAAACGGAGTTGCATCATTGACCGTAACATAGTGTTCTAAGCAAAACTCTCGTGGGATAAAGTTATTAACCAAGCTCCAAAGAGAAAGGAAAGATGGTGAATCATTCTAAATTCACCTTACGCTATTTTGGGGATGACTCCCAAGGGAGATATTCTAAGGTTAGGCAGTGGGGGTTCTCAAAAGGGTCCTGCTTGGATCTGTCTAATTAACTTTTGATGCACCCTATCTGGGTACTCACATGCCGAAAAAAGGTTATTGGAGAAACTGCTCTCTACGGGGACATAATAATTTAAACGAAAACCATTTAACAAACCACATAATAAGTGATAACAAAACTTTTCTGGATAATCTGATAAGTATGCTGCTAAATTCCTAACTTTGACCGGAGTTGGGAGTGCTTCGGTTGGAAAGGGTGCAGTTGGGAGTGCTCTGGATGGTAAAAGATGTTTTGGGCCCTATGTCCAGCAGGCTGTTTGGAGGCTTGTTGGCGTTTGGAAAATGGGTGGCTGTTCCCACACCAGAAACACTGGTGTTTGTAAGAGCATCCAGGACATGCAATCCCCTGATGAAACTACCAGCAAAAAAATGAAATGACCCCTGTTGTTTACTTTTTCCTGGCTGGGTGCTAAGCTGGGGACGAAAGAAATGAGACCTAAGCCATGGCTCAGCATTAATTTGGTCTACCTAATGCTACGAAAATTCTCATCGTAGAAGCTCCAGTTAGCTCCCTGCGAGGCAAACCTCTTGGATGATTGACCCATACTGTGTGTTCTTTCTTTGAAGTGTGGCACCAGGTATTAACTTGTGACTTGCTGTATTGCATTGTTGACGTTGTTAAGTACAGTCTGGTCAGTGTTGGTGGAGGAAGGGTTTGTCTCTATTAGGCCCGAACCTTTGTTCACCCCTGAACTTGAAAGTGGGTGGGATCCGAGCACACTGCACGCCGTTGCTGCTGCTGCAGATTGCTGGGGTTGTGCAACATTTAACAATGCTTGTGATATTGCTGCTCCAATAGAAAGTGTCAGAGTTGACGCTACTTCTGCCAAAAGGGTAAGTTGTGTTGTTGCCTGGGCAGCATTTGTGGGTTCCTGCAACTGAAGCAGAATGGATGTGGCTGCACTAACAAGTCTGAAGCAGTGCTGCTGTCCATGGCATGACGTCTCTTGTTTACCCCCTCTGTATAGCTTTGTCCTCTCCTAGGTGGCATTCTGGGTTTTACAATCAACCGAAAATTAATATGCATGTCAAGAATTACAACTGAAAGTAAAGCTCTACCAAGCGCCTGGAAAATCCTGTAGTGCACTGTGCACCCATGAGACAACAGAAGAAAGAGCCACATATTGGTGCCCTCTGTTAAACCCTAATATATATTCAGAGAGGGTGACAGTATCAAACAAACCAATCTGGCATAAATAAGTGTACTATAACACCACAAGGTATTATACACAACAAAATGATGCAACAGCGCAAAATCATACATATCATATTGAACAGTATCAGTTACATCATTATGTTATCTTTACCAGTATTATGGTGTTCATTTTACAGATAATAATAATAACAGACAGTTCTGTCACAGTCATTATTTTTTGTGAAAAAAAAAAGAGGACAATAGATATATCTAGCAACCTTTGTGGCATTACAGGTGTGGTATGGAATTCCTAATGAAAGGGTTCCCAAGTCTACACTAAAATAGTGGGTAAGGTGGGGAGGGAGTATGCGTGTATACAAGAGTCCTGTATGTATAAAACAGAACAAAAAAGTTAGATGTTAAGATTAGCACTGATAATGAGGGACGGGCAAAATGCAAGCAGATATGTCTACCTCAAAGAAGTGCAAAAATTTATGTAGCTGAAAGTAATAACTGAAATTCTAATAAGGATAGGGTTAAATAAAATAAATTAGTTGAAAAATTAAAAGAAGGTTTGAAGTCGAGAAGTTTATTAAGTTGTTAGGATAAGAATAACAATTGAGAAACTGGCAAATTGTCAAACAGCTATGTCAACCTCAAAATAGAGTTACGATAAGTACGAAAGGAAGAGGGGTTAGAAGGTAAAAAATAATAAGAATGATAATAGGAAGATGAAAGGGGAAAGGAGGGACCAGCAAACTGCAAAGCAGTTATGTCAACCTCTTGGAAAGTTGAAAATGAGGAAGACAGTGGAGGAAAAAAAAGGAGAAATTAATTAATAATTATAACAATAAAATGAAATAAAATAAATGATAGAATGAATGAAATATAATAAAATAAATGAATAATAAAGGAGAGACTCGGGGGTAAATAAAGGAAAAAACAATCAAAGGAATTACTTGAATAAATTTAATGCGTAATTTCTCTTCAAAAAATAATAAGTAAAATGAAAGTTGTTTGTAAAAAAACGAAAACCTTAATTTGCTTCTTTAGTGAAAATAAGTTATAAGTCAGATGTCTTGTTAACTGATACAGTAAAAATACTATTTGAACTTCTCATAATAATTGATATATAGTCGTTCTTAAAAACTTATCGAATCACTGATACAATTAAAATGACAGTGAAATATATTCGTTCTTAAAAAAATCAAAGAATTACTGACTCTGAAGATTTTTCTTTTTATAAAAGTTAGTAAATGACCCAGTAGTTTCTCTAGTAACTATAGTGACATCTGCAAAGTTGTGAAAATTGTGAAATAATTTTTAAAGATTGGATAGTACTTTAGAATAAAATCCGAGATATCAGATTACATATAAAATTAGAATTAAGTAAAGGAAAATGCTAAGTTACCATAAAAATTTAAATTAGTAAAAGTATGGCTCTGAAGATAACCCATAAATAATTTTTTGAGGGAATAAAATATAAGGTGTAACAGAAATACAAATTACAAAAAAAGGGGGGGTGAAAGAAATGTACAAGATAAGAACCTTCACAATGAAACCATTATAAGGAATATAACTTGAAGTTTTAAAAAATGTAATTCAAATTTAAATGGTTAGTTGTTAGTCGTACCTTTGTGTTTGTTGACATTAATATAAGGAATATGACTTGTAATTTTAAACAAAGTTGAACGAAAGAGAATTAAAATGGTTAGTTGTTAATTGTTAGTCGATCTTTTTTGTCCGTTAAGGTATAGCCATTCTTTACAGTGTAAATCGAAGTAGAACCAGATATGCGATTTGTTGTCCATGTTGCTGAGTAGGAAATCTAGTTGACGAGCACGCTTCTCGCTCTTTTTGTTGGTAGGCCAGTGTTGTGATGTGAGGATCCAATGTGAAATCAGGTGGGGTGAACAGCCATTGCCAATTAAAAATAAAAACAGTTTGAATGTGTCCTTGTCACTGATTGGTTTTTTCCAGAAAATTAACGTAAACTCTTGTGGCCAAACAGAAAGTGGATAAAAAGCGTCGCTGTTGAATGAATTAAAAAGTTGAAGTCGTTGCTGGATGATTGATGTGCGGGGTTGCGGAGATGGTGATGGTAAAAGTGGAGTGTAGAGTGGTTGTTATCTATAAGTAGAAAGTAGTCTGTTAAGATAATAGATGAGGGAGTGAAGTAGAGGGTGGGGATAAGAGCATTAGCGTGGTAATTCGTAATTATTAACTATTAATTAGCGTCATAAGTTTGACAAAATTGTCCTGTTGTTATTTAAGGAAAAAACGGAAGCAGAAGAAGAATAGATGGAGTGTGAAGGAGAGTGGGAGTACTCGAGTATGGCAAAAAAAGGGATGCATCGACACCAAGGTTCCTGTAATGTTGTGAATCAACAGGGGTAAAGCACAACTGCGCGAGGATGTTTCTAGCCCGGCACCAAGCCTTTGCCTGAAATCCTCTGTGTCGAGTCCTTAAGAAGAAAAAAGGAAGAGAGGAGAGAAGTGGCCGGGAAGTAGCTGAGAAGAGAGAGAAAGAGAAAGATTGAAGGGCACTTTTGCAACATCAAATAGGGCACTTTTGCAACATTAGGGCACTTTTGCAACATTGCATGGGGCACTTATGCAACATAGGGCATTTTTGCAACATGACATAGGGCACTTTCGTCACAGTAGGGCATTTTTGCAACGTGACATAGGGCACTTTCGTCACAGTAGGGCATTTTTGCAACGGGCACTTTTGCAACGTAAACAACAGGTGCTGATATATATGTTATATATGTTATACCTTGTACTAATAGTATATTTTCATTCCCTTGATTCCAGCATACATCTTTAAAAAATAATTTTTAACTTATAAAAAGCGAC